TGCAAACAGCATGTCGAACTTTCCTCCATTTTCAGCTAGAAAATGTAGAGTTCCACGACACCGTCGTCAATATATTTTCCCAAGACCAACTTCTCGTCTTGATGCGAACAACTTTCGAACTTTCCTCTATTCACTACCAGAGTTCTACAACACGGTCGCCCTCACACCTTTCCAAGACTAACTTCCTCGTCTTGATGCGAACAACTCTGAATTCTCCTCAATGAAAATTGATAATCTGTTCATACACCTTTGAACCTTCTAACCATTATGAACCAGTACCTTAAAAATAAAACATTACACTCACACTATCAAACCTCACAGTGAGTACTTTTTCCTATTTGTGTACGCATACACCTTTCGTTCAACAAGACATTTTTCTAGAACTTTCTTTCTGATGAAACTTTTCCCGCCTTAGCCATCTTGGTTTTCTGTTTTGGCGCGGAACTCTGACATTCCTTCAGTGACGACTTGTCACAACCTTTTCATTAATTGCAAAGATCCAGTAACTTTACTGATGGTCTCCACTGTCGAGACAATTTACTAGTTAAATATAATAAAATTTCATATATGTTTTTCAACCAGACTCATTTTGTCGTTTAATTCCGGCTATCTACTTGTATTATTTTTATGCACTGGTGGAGTGACCCCTTTTCCTCACTAAGATCACTCATTTAATATTTTTACTTTGTTTGTGGATTCGGTAGTCATAAGTAGTGTCTGGCACAAAGCCACCTTTTAATAAACCAGCACTGCATGCTACCGGGCCCGAAACACCTTAACCGGAATTAAATCTCCAGCCCTTTTGGGCAATCTCAAAATAACTACTGAGGGGTTAATGGTGAAACGAAAATACAATGTATTGCGGACAGACGAATTCAAATTGGATTTTTTAGTAGTACAAGGGGCCTGAAGAAAGACAGAAAAAAAAGCGAATACATTGTAGTTACTGAAATTTCATGTTTTACTTAACAAAATATCATTTTAAGAGGTTTTCTTTTCTTTTTTTTTTAAAGAAATGCATGGTTTCTATGTCCTTCCTGTTATTTGAAGAATTTCCCTATAGTTTATATATGAGGCAAATTAGATAAACTTTTTAATAACAACATGTTTAAATTTCCTCTGTTAAGTATCGTCTGCAAGTTAGACCTGAAGACGCCAACTTAACCCAATTCTTCTTCAGGATGTGGGCAATTATAGCGCTGCACAAGTTCCTGTCCTGTGTAGACTAAATATATATATATATATATATATTGCTTTTTCTCCTAATTACTACTCTGCCAATCATTGACACAAGGTCGTTGTGTAGATTATTCGCTGCTTTCCTCTAGCCCGCTCGGCTTCAATATTACCTGTGGGTATCAAATTTTCTAAACCCTCTTTCCCCATTATGTGTCCTATAAAATTCAACTTTCTAATGTTAAGTATTACTGTCCTTTTTGTTTCCATTTTCTCTAAAACTTCCTCGTTGCACTCATGTTTAGTCCATGGTATCCTCAACATCCTTCTGTAGAATCACGATAACAATAAAAAATACGATCCCCCACTATAGGTCCAGTACAATCTTATGTTAATAATTTCCTCAAGCCATAAAATATGACGGCATATTTTGTAATGTCCTTCCTATTATTTGAAGGTGTCCATGTGTAAGTCATTAAACCTATTTATTTGAAACTAGATTAAAAGCCACCCTATCGGGCGGCATTTACGCTAACTCTCGCGGAGGGCTTTTGATCGAGACTTCGGATTGTTCAGGAGTTTGAGAGTCCTTAAGTTTTTGTATATTCCCAGTATTGAAAGCTATCCTGGCTGCCGCTTTGATCTGGTTTGTAATTTGGGGCTTTCTTTTCGTCGCTGCAGCTCTTGTCGTCGCAATCTGGTCTTCTGTTGGCGGAGATTTCTTTTACGAGGCATACTACTGCCGTTAATTTCAGATAGAATATATCTGTAAAAGTCCAATAGGATTAAAGGAAAACTTATCTTAGTCGACGCGTTTCTTCCTCTAGGAGGCTTTATCAAGGCAAAAGCGAGGATTTTATTTTCTAAGAAGTATTTATATACAAGTGCAAAAATGTTATTGGTTTTTCAAAAATTTTGGTATAGGGATGCTTATGAATATTCATCAGGTTAACGGAGGAGTCAGGAAAGTTCATGTACGTATGTTGATACAGTTTAATGCCTAATAAAAGAAAGTGGTGGGTCATTTTTTATGCAAATTAGCATATAAGTAATTTATAACTTTCATTACTTTAAAGTAATAAGAAATAATGTTGGATTAAAAATAAAATCCATTCATTTCGTATATATATTTAATTTAAATGTCCATATAAGATTTAATCCATATTTGTTCAATATATATATATATATATATATATATATATATATATATATATATATATATATATATATATATATATATATAATAAAAAAAAAAAAAAATGGACAAAGTCTGATAATTATTTTAAGACATTTTTATATTTATACATTCTTTCTATAGATACAAATATTTAAGTAAATACTCAGTATTAAACAACATTTACCGGCCTGAATGTCCGAGAAATTTTCATAGAAAATATTCGTCCTCCGACAGGAATCGAACCTGTATCCCATACGGAACCGTCATATAGCCTGAGGTGCCTTTAACCGATTTGGCCACAGAGGAGCGTTCGGTTAGCAAAGTCGATTTTACTGTCTTTAAACTACGTGAGAGAACCATGGAAGATTGTAGTTTAAAAACAGTAAAATCGACCTTGCTAACCGAACGATTCCTACCCGAATTACCAAAGGGTTAGAACGTCACGTTTGGAGCAGCGACACCCGGACGGAACGGCGAGGAGCGAACAGCTGACGCCGCGGCGAAGACGTCACAATTGGTGCTGTTTAGGGACGTCACAACTGGCGCCGTGGTAGATCAGGATAGAACGTCACAGTCGGCGCTGCGACCGGGGGACGACGTCACATCTACTCCTGTTTGAAAGACGGCTAAGGACTGCGAATCGGGCGATATATATATATATATATATATATATATATATATATATATAAGCAACCATTCATGCGTGCGATCACGCGCATATATAAATTTGCAAATAAATGTTTAATGTAATTTTTAGTGTTTAATTAAATTAAAAAAAAAGTATATATTAATAAATATACATACTACCTTACCTTATATATATAAGGCCGCAATTTTCGACGGATTTGTACCAAAATTTACATGCACATGCTCCAAGTTAGCGGGAAGGCCAAGACCGACTTTGCATTTCCCAACTCCCATCGATAGTGGAAATAATCAATTTTTTTATACTTCTACAGCAGTTTTCATGAAGTTTGCGGCCATTTTCTACTGGCCAGTGTGAGAGCCAATAGCTGGCTGCCACGAATAGGCAGGAAGATTCTATTGGCCACCGTGAGATCCAGCAGCTGACATGCAAAAAAATAAAAAAAAAAAAAAAATCGATAGCTGCATTCGTCACAAGTGGGAAAAATTTAAATCTGCATGGCACTTTACTCCAATTGGCTCATTCGCTTGCTTAAACTCAACGTTGATTCTGATTCCGCAGTACTGGGTTGGGTGTGAAAAAGTATTTGTTGTTAACATTTTTTTCATTCGGTTTTTCCAGTTACGAGTCCTTTTTTAAAGCTGATCGTTTTGTGTTCATTTTGTTTAGTTCTTTTTTCGTAACAGATTTAATGTTTAGTATAGAGCTTAGAAAAAATTCGCAGTGCAGAGATAGGCAAGAAGTAAGGCATGTAGCAACATCAGCACGGGCAAAGGACACTCCTTTAAAGGCAAGGAAGGGGAAAAATATTTTAAGTCAAGTGATAGCGATTGCTGTATGAGTCGTACGATTTTTGAATCAAGCACGGGCAACGCCGGGCCATGCTGCTAGTATATTAATAAATATACATATTACCTTACGTTGATAGTGCGACTCCGAGTTTCATATTAAATACAATCTTCAGGTATTTAAAATGGTGATGAACTCTTCGTTACGATCATTTTCAAAAAAAAAAAAAAAAAAGCAGGTAATGATTAAATTTCGTTAAAGCTCTGCTAGTTGACCTCTCTACCTTCAGGCAGAGACGAAACTAGACGAGGCTATGTCTATGGACAGAGTCTCGCGTCTGGGGAGGTAGACAGCTGCCCGACCCCCGTCTATGCGGAGTCTATGGGTAATTTATGCATGAGCGTACATGCTCGGAAAACCCCACATTAAAAACTAGCCTTGTGCCACTTCCCGCCTTGTGGAGATGTCTCAGGAAAATACCAAGGATATGTTTTCTATTTATATCTATACGGTGGTCCTGCTTGCGCGGTTGATGCACTTTTAGCTAGCGAGAGAACTTTGGGTTGTTTAGTGATCCTGTTCTTCTGAACAGTATGATACCGTCTTCCCATATCCTCAATAGGGAATCTTTCAAGGCCCCTATTTTTTTTCTGTCAGGTTATGGTGCGATTCACTGCCTTTAACAGCAGGTCATCTCTAACTTGTAGTCTCCGTCCTCTTTCCACCCGTCCTGCTCCGGCGTCGTCTCGAATAGTTCGGGCACGCAGTTCGACGCCCGGAGGGAGAGCTCATCCGCGATGTACTTCTCCCTCCTTCTCTTCCTGGCCGGCGAAAACGTGTCGGTGGGCAGCTGAGGACGTGGACTAGCACAATCAAGGATGCCCTAGCAGTACTATCGGGTCCACAAGTAGTTGGTCTTCGACGATGGAATCACGATTGGCTCGCCATTTCGTGTGACCTGGCTCAGGATCGGCGAGCGTGGGCAGCGATGGTCCGTGATGCTGTACTTGCTCGGGACGAAGCCGGTTCAACCCGTCCAGGGTGAAAACCGATACAAGTCAAGTCAAAACCTGTAGTCCGACGGGTTGCTGCGTGATCCTGTACGGTTGTCGACTCTCATGTGGTCCTGCCGTTTCTGTCAAACCCATATACGGCCCGTTTGGTTATAGGCGCGATCTATTGTCGTAGTGGACGTTATACTCCGGTTCAGAGATGCTGTTCCAGTATGATGCTTGTTTCCTGTCTTCCCTTTCAGGACTAAGACACTGTCTTTCCCCTGAGTATGCGGTAAACGATTACCATTTGTCCTTTTAAGGGCAAATTTATTTTTCTTCCCCCTGACTACGTAGGCCAGCGCACGGCTTCTCGTTCCGGTATTTTCAGCGCCTGTCAACGGTTCATGCATATCTAGCGCCTGTCAACGTTTCCTGCAACAAACAACCACGATCTCTCGTTCCGGTATCTCCAGTGATCATCAACGGTTCCTGCACCCACAGCGCACGACCATTCCTTCCGGGATTTTTTGCGCTCATCAACGGCCTCGTTGTCGTCTGCGTACAACCAGCCATTCCGGTATCTACTACACATCTAGTCCTGTGCTCAATCGGAGTTTTCTACACGTAGCAGTCATTCCTGTTGTATACCATTCTTCTCCTGAGTTCACCGGCATCTTATACGCAAAGCAATCGTCCTCGACGAAGACCATTCTTCTCCGGAGCACAGCGGCATTTGTAACACCAAGCAATCGTCATTGCCGTAAACCATTCTTTCCTGCTCAGCTTACCTTTCTTCGAACATCAACTGTTCCAGTTACCTTCTGCGCATGTCGTGTTTTATTGCGCATAAAAAACATACAACAGTTGTGGCACAAGGCCTAAAAGGAGGGGAATGAGTTGAAACTGGTCGACACTATCTTATACCTAGCTAATCCGATTCACGACCCATTCATTCATTACAATTTTCGCATCCACTGTAAGAAATCGTCCTTCATCGTTCAATCCTACATATACCACAATACCGCACACACACAGGGAACCTATAAAACACCGGAAGACATAAAAATTGTTGAGTATAAAATTATATATAAAAATCTGTTGATGATAAGCAATGGTGGGAGGGAGGAGCATGAACCCCAAAACAAACTAAAATATAACAAAATTAAACAAAATAAAGATAACTGATGTTAGTTGGATCCGTCCAACCCCCAAAGAACTAAAAGAGGCCACTGTATTCTGTTTTCAGATAAAATCAAGAGGTTCACTCGCTAAGTGAGAGAGAAGGATAAGATAAATACTGTCAAGAGGAAAAAGGAAACTGAGTCAGAAATATATATATATATATATATATATATATATATATATATATGTGTGTGTGTGTGTGTGTGTGTGTGTTTGTGTTAACTGACTCGTCATATTCTTCTGCCCATCAAACAGTCCCGGATATTTACTTTGTATGTATCAGCTCTTCCGGTCAGTATTCTACACATATTATTCTATTAATTAGTCTATCTCCTGTGTATACAATACCGACTTTGTGTAATATACCAATCATTACTGATTTCTCGTCAACGTCGCTCCATCAACTTTTATTTCCGAAATATCTATTTTTGCGCAAGACAAAGGAACATTTCTCTTTACTAGATTTCGAGCTGGGCACCTCGGTGTGGTGTAATGGTTAGCAAGCTTGGTTTGCTAGATCAGTTACTACTGAAAAGCGAGTTCGATCCTCACTGGATGCCCCATTCTTTCGGCCTTGTGCCACATCTAAGCTGCGCTTGGAAAATGTTCGAGTTCCCAACCGCACCTTTTCACGTGATTTCTCTGGAACTCTTTTCAACATCTGCCTTTCGCATTTTCTTTCTTGGATTTGTATTTCGTATTTGCCAAGAATAATTTTTGCGATATTTATTTGAATTCTTCGTTTTTGTTGTCCTTGCCAGATCACTGTGTTTTTTTTTTGTTTTTTTTTTAATGTTAGCGGGCACCATCTGATTAAACCAACCCAGGCTCGTGTGACCCGCTACACTAACGCCACGAAAACGTTAAAAAAAAATCAGCATACCGTGATGAAAACATTCTCCAAACATAATGAAAACAGTTTTATCGTTAAAATCGTTATGTTACTATTAAAAGGAAGGATCAAAGTATTTTTTGATTATTTAATTAAATTTTTTACTCTTTTTAGAACATTCGAAATTTATTTAAAAAACTCGTTTTTCTTGCGTCAGCGCTTGTGCTAACTTTTAGCATAGCAAGTTTCGGCCTCTTTCTTGCAGTGCCAGACTCAGTTTGAAAATTCTTGCAAAGATCAAATAATTGTCAGATTTTAATGAAATTTTCAGGATTTATTCACAAATGAATTAAATTATTTTTTGAAATTTTTAAAAATTTGTTTTATTTTCATAATTTTATGAAAACTTGACAAATTCATCGAGATAATTTTAGTAGCTATTTTAGTTAAAAGCAGAATTCTTTGAAGAACTTTATCACCGAATTTTTTCGGCAAAACCCGGTCTTACCGAAAATCTGTTCTGAATCGAAAAATAAAATCTGTTCTGAATCGAAAAATAAAAAACGCAATAAAACTAAGACATTATTTAATTAAAGATTTTTTTTTCTGAGTTCGAAGTTTTGTTTACTCAATTAACAAGACTTTCCTCTATTTCCTTGGATGCACTTGGTGACCTTAGAGCCCGATTAAATAATTTTGCTCACACTTTTGCCACTACTCCCGTTGCTACTTCCGAGTCAAAGTGAAGAACTGAACACGGGCGTATTATTAGATCGTTAAAAATAACCATGAATTAGTGATCTCCAGACCTGATAAGGGTGCTGGTGTGGTTCTTATGGTCCACACAGATTATGTTGCTAAAATGTCTCTAATCTTGAATGATACATCTAAATTTGTGCAGCTTGGTCCCGTTGAAAAATGTGATGCTACCACTTCCATTGAAACAAAATTTGAAGAACAACTTTTGAGGTGGGTAAGAAGTGGAGTTCTTTCACCAGAAATTTTTGAGGAAATTAGACCTTCTGCATCAATCCGACCTCGTCTTTATGGCCTTCCAAAAATCCATAAAGATGGGGTACCTTTAACATCCATACTGTCTATGACAGGGTCTTCTCATGGCTCGCTATAGTGTTGAAACCTGTTTTACAACGCTATAGTTCTTTCTGTATTAAGGTTTCTTTTTCCTTTACGGATTGTATCCACAATTGTTCTTCTTCGGGTAAGTTCATGTGTTCATTTGATGTATGCTCTTTATTTACTTGTGTTCCTCTTTTGGAGACAATTAATACTTGTTGTGATTTTCTTTATCAAAGCTCTTTGTCTCCTCCTGATATCTCTGAAAAAGTGTTCTTTGAATTGATGAAATTTGCCACCTAAACTATTGAATTTAGCTTTTATAATATTATGTATCGACAGATTGATGGTATTGCCATGGGTCCCCCTTTGGGTCCTGCACTGGCAAATATATTTTCGGTTTTCATGAGGAGAGATTGTTTTGTAGTTCACTTCGTCCTCTATTATATTGTCGGTATGTGGATGATATTTTTTATTTATTTAATGAAGCTGAAGTGGATCAATCTCTCTCCTCTCTCAATAGTCTTCATCCAGCTTTGAGGTTTACGGTCGAGAAATAGTCCAATTCTCAATTTGCTTTTTTGGATGTATTGTTGCATCGTACTCCAACATTATTTTTTTACCTCAGTGTATAGGAAGTTCAAATTTGCCGGGTTGTACACGTGTTGGGATTCCTTTTGTTCAAAGAAGCAGAAAATAAACCTCAGCAAAACTTTGACGCATAGGGCGTTTATGATTTGTTGTGAGGTTTTCCTTGATAGCGAAATCGATTTTGTAACGAGGACTCTATGTAGCAATAAGTATCCACCTAATATTGTTCATTCTGTCATTCGTGACAAGATCTCTAGTTTAAAAAAAAATTAAGCCCGCCACGGTAGAAAGGTGCTCTGAATATTTGCGACTTTCTTGGATTGGAGCTGAAAGCGAAAACCTCTCCAGGCAAATTTCTTCTAGTGTCCGTGATTGTTATTTTTCGGCCGAGATTCGTGTCGTATTCAATACCAGGCCGATCCTTTCATCTATTCGTAAGGATGCCTCCCCATCCTCAAGTTAATTCTGTTGTATATAAATACAATTGTGGTTGCGGAGTCAGCTACATAGGGAGGACTACCCAGCAACAAGATGTGAGGATAAAACAACACGTACCAGGTAAGATCAGGAATCACACTTTGGTTTCAAATGATCTAATCTCAAATATTTATGGATCCTCAATTTGTCAGCTCTTTTTAAAGAACAGTAAGTGTGCGGCTGAATTCAGTGTTGACTGGTTTACTGTCTCGTCCCAGTCACACTCTTTATTTCACCTTAAAGTACTTGAGTCACCGTATATCAAGTCTCGCAAGCCGTATCTCTGTAAACAGCGTGATTGTTGGCTGGGGCTTGCTAGCATTAGTCTCCAGTACTCCCCCCCCTCAATATTTTCTCCCTTCTCTATGCTCTCATGAATCATTCGCTAATTTGATTTATTGAATTTTATTCTTTTTCTCATGATTAAGAGAGAGAGAGAGAGAGAGAGAGAGAGAGAGAGAGAGAGAGGGGATTAATATGAGTAAAATTTGCCACCCAGCTGATTGATGCCACTTCCAGCATCCCGACTCTAGACTTTCTTGTCCGTCTATTTCCCAATCCAAGGTGACATACTGCCCACATTTTTCTATGCACACTCAGCACTGGTGAAATTTTCATCTGCACTCTCTGTGTCCGTGTGTGGTCCTGTTTTATTTTTTTTTTTTTTCTTGAGAATTTACAATATATATTAAAAAATGTTTATTTATTAGATTATTTATTTACAAGAATAATTTTATATTTGCAGCATTCGAAAAACTAATGCAATGCAATATTTATCATTCACCAATTTATAAAGAAATAAATACGAAAACAATTTTTATTCCTAAATTTATATATATTTACTAAATTATTAAAATATGTGAATAAGAAAGTCTTTATTATTTACCATTTTATAAAGTTCGAATCGAATGGCAATTTGTCGATGTTTTGTCAACCATTCTAATAAAGAATCTAATAAATAAATAGTGTTTATTATTTTTGTTATTTAATTCTCAAGAACAAAGAATGTATAAATTCAATTTCATATAATTTGGTTTTATTACAATTCTAATCATCGCTGTTTTTAAACAATAAAGTCGTTATTTACATTATTCGGACTATTGTCCTCAACGTTCCCCCCCGAGGAGAACATGACTAAAGACTGTGTGTACGCTATCCCGTGCAGCTGCGGAAAGAAATATAAAGGAGAGACAGACCGCCCCCTGTTGGTAAGGCTTCAAGAACACCAGAAAGTTGTAACACGAGGAGAAGTGGAGAAATCAGGCATGGCTGACCACATACGGAGAGAGAAGGGAGATCGCCGCCCTCTGTGGGATCAGGTTGAGATTATAGACAAGGAACACCATTGGGTAATTCGTAAAGTTAAGGAATCAGCACATATGTTAAGCCACAAAAATCTACTGAGCTGACCAAGCATAGAAATAAATACAATATGGGAACCAGTAATAAGGAGTGCCAGAGAAAAGCAATGATAACAACAAAGTTGCAATATGAGCTCTGGTAAAAACATGTATTGATAACAGCAAAATTGCAATATGAGCACTGGTAAAAATAGCGGCTGAAGACATTAGGTTTATACTACCCAGAAATTCATACCCAGATGTCCTCAAGGACACATGGCACGGTGGATAAAGGCGTTGGTTAGATCCAGTGACAGGACCCAAAGTTCAATACCCAG